GGGTACCTAAGATAGTGTCCCTTAGGATTTGTGTTGGACAAAATGGCATGATAAAAGGTCAAGAGCCAATAAACCTACCAAGTCATTAAAGTCTACAATTTGCTTTTAGAAGGATAGGTGCCAGGGGATATTAGCTTAAATGTGATTTCTATTCTTTACTATCTGTGTGAACTCAGACAAGTCACTACTCACTACTCTCTGGACAGTTTGCTTATGTGACTGCAGCACCCTCTTGCACCTAGGTGCAAGGTTTAAGGCACATTTTAGGCCATTGTACATTCAAAGTTATAGTTAGTAAGCTCCCACCAATGTAACAGGTCAAGTTAATGATCCTTTTTAAAGTGCTTACCATTTGCCAGGCATCGTGCTTAAGAAAGGCAAAAACAGAACAATCATTTTTTTCAAGGATCACATGTTTTAATGGGAGAAACAACATGCAAACAACTGTGTACAAGCAAGATTTTTTATATATATATATATATGTAAATATATATGAAATTTGGGATAATCATAGGAAGCATATACACATATTCTTTTACCACCCACCTTAATGCTATAATATATAAAAACTTCTTGTAGAAGGTAGCTGGGACTTGAAGGAAGCCAAGGTCCCACTAGAGTGTTTTCTTTAAGTGCTAGCCAGAAAGCATACTAGATCAAAGCAAAAGACATTTAATTTAATAGCAACATCTCCTCCCCACTCTACCCAGGACAAAACCATTTGTGGAGAGGGAAAATGTATGGCTGCAGAGTATATGTAAGGAAACACACACTGAGTGAACATGTGCAGCCAGAGTGCTTCATGCTCCTGAGGTGTTGGCCTTTTCTCTGCCTCTAATGCTGCCCCAATGCTCCCCTGCACAGATACCCAGGTTCTCAGACTTTTGGACTTCAGTTGTCCTCTGTGCTACCATCTGCTGGTTGTAGTTTTGTATAACCCCTTTCTTGGGAGAGGACTCTAACAATTCTTTTAACTATTTGGGAGTGGGGAACCTGCAGCTCTGAGGTCACATGTGATCCTGTAGGTCCTCAAGTGTGGCCCTTTGACCAAATCCTCTTCATTTGTGATGAACTCATCCTTTACATTTTTGATACTAGTAATTTGGTTCCAAATCCAAACTTACATTCTGTGAAGGTTGGATTCAGTCAAAGGGCTGCACTTGAGGACCTAGAGGGCCACATGTGGTCTCGAGGACACAGGTTCCCAACACCTGCCATAGGCTATTTAGCTCTTTGAAATTTCAGACTCATCCACCAGCACCATACAGCTAACTAGAGAAGCCTTTACCTATTTAAGCCTTTATATGTGTAAGTCTATCTTTTGAACTGAACTTCTGTTGCTCAGATTCCCTCAGATTGGTAAAGGAAGTGAATTTCATAGGTTGCAAGGTCATCATATGTCAACAGCATGACTCAGGAGCCAAAAAATAATCTATCACAACCTTAAGTTGCATTAAAAGAGGCAGAGTGCCAAGAGGAAGGGAGATGAAAGTTCTTCTGTACACTGCCCCGGAGTGTTGGGTTCAGTTCATCATTGTTGTCCAAGAAACTCAGTTGCTCTTTCTCTTTTTCCCACCCACATATGACTGATTGATCAGGCAGACCTTGAACTTGGGGATGTGAAAACTGCAGTCATGTAATATTTTAATCATTGTTTAATTTGGGGGCAGGGAGGACAAGAAGGCATTTCTTTGGGTAAAGCCTGCTAGGCTTTACCAAGTTCCTCCTTGTGCTGGCTTTACTATTATATACTCATTTCCACATTTTCAAAGCTTGTCACAATTAGCTTTTCTAAATTCTTGTGTGAAACCTAGTGCAAGAAGCAGGGACAGAGCCATGCATAGACAGAGTAGGTTGAGTGGGGAATAGAATAGGCCCCTGATCAAACATTTCTCCCCAGCTGACCGACCAAGGCAAGTGACTCAAGATTCACATTATACTTTGGATGACATTATTATTTTTAGAGGGCCTCTGATAAATTGTATATGGGCTTCCTTCCTATAGGTAATTTAGAGGCAGAAGGCATCAAAGCTAGCAATTGGGAATATGTTGTTGCTGTTCAGTTGTTTCTGTCACGTCCAACTCTTTGTGACCCCATTTGAGATTTTCTTGGCGAAGATACTGGTGTGGTTTGCCATTTCCTTCTGCCCCTCATTTTATGGATGAGGAAACTGAGGCAACAGTTAAAGGACTTGCTCAGGATCACCTAGCTAGTGAGTGTCTGAGGCCAGATTTGAACTCAAGGAGATGAGTCTTCCTGACTCCAGGCCCAGCACTCTATCCACTGTGCTACCTAGTTACTGAGTTAGGATTATATTAACACACATTAGATTCTGTGGAAGCACTAGTTAGACTGGGCATAGCCATGGTAGAAAAACAAGAACATTAGATTTGGAATTGGAGGACCTATTTACTTGTGTAACCTTGGGTGAGTAAGTCACTTACCCTCTAACCTTCATCCTTCTGATCTGTAAAAAAAAAAAAAAATGGAAGAGATTGACTAAATGTGCTCAGCTTTCTCTTCTAGTTCTAATTCCTATGCTCTATCATCTTTGAGGATCCTTCCAATTCTGAGATCACATGATTAGAATGAGTAAACCTCCACATCCCCCATCTATTATGAACTCCTTCCCACTATACATCCATTTTACAAATGAGAGAAATGAGACTCAGGAAAAAGAGTTGATTCAGAAGTATCAAAAGGTCTCTGTGGAAGGTGAGTATCCAATGGAAAGTGAAGAGGAAGTGTCTTCACTGTTTATAGGATTGGATTTGAATGCTTTTTTGCAAAAAAAAAAATTCTGTCCTACATTTGATGTATTGCTAGCTTGAGTACTTGAATGGGGGCAGAGAGTTCTTTTCTTTTTTTACGTGGCGACTTAGACAAAGTAAATTTTGATGCTCCCAAGGGAAACCTGGGGGAAGAAGCATGAACCAAAGAGTGATTGCTGTGAAGTATTTATGATTGAATCTGGTTCAAGTGAGTCCTGAACTTTGTCAATGGATCATTACTTACATTAGTTTTTTTCCCTCAACTCTGACATTCTATCTTCTGTGGTACTTGGGTGCTGTCATTCTAGGTATCATGTTCCAAGGTCTTTTCTCTCAATTCTGACATTTTTGTTCTAAGGTCCCATTCCATCTCTGACATTCCTGTTCTTTTAATCTTTAAAAAATTTTTATCATGAGTTTAACAAGCATCAACGACAAAAACAGAAAATTATAGATGAAATGGTAAGCTTTTGTTATATATTGTTTGTTTTTAAATCTGTATTAAATTTAACACAGTAGTTACAAAATTCTGAACTTATTTTTGTTTTATTTTTGTATTTAAAATTTTTATTAATGCTCTTTTTCTTTCTTTTTCTGTATCTCTTTTACTACCTCAGCTTCTCCCTCCAATAAAGCCATCCTTTATAACAAATAAATATAGTTTAACAAAATAAAACCATCCATTGACCATGTCTGAAAATGTAAGTCTCATTTGTTACCTCTAGTCTATCACCTTTCTGTCAAGAGGTTCCCACCTCTTCATCATCTATCTTCTGATGTGATGATTGGTTATTTCATTGATCAGAGTTCTGAAATCTGACATTATGTGTTCTAAGGTCTCTCCCGGCTCTGATGTTCTATGAATTTGTGACCAGCTGGATATAAACATGTCAAACTCAACATGTCTAAAGCAGAACTCATAATTTTTCCTTTCAACCCAACTCTCTCCTAAATGTCCTTGTTTCTGTCAAAGACACTGCTATTCTTCTAGCCTCCAGGGTTCATACACTCACTAGTACTTTTGATTTCTTATTCTCCCTCATCCTGCATATCCAATCAGTTGCCTAATCTTCCCATCACTCTCTCTGTATCATCTTTCAAAATGAGTCCCTCTCTCTATTTACTCAATCACCGCCTATGTTCAGGCTCTTATCTGCTCATCCGGACTATTTAAATAGCCTTCTAATTGATCTTCCATCCTCCACACAGTTGCTAAAGTGACTTTACAAATACAGACATGACTATGTCACTTCGCTCCTTAAATACCACCTCCTCCCTTTTGCTTCTAGAACAAAACGTCAGTTTCTCTGGCTACTAAAGTCCTTCACAAACAGATTTCAATCAGTCTTTCAGGTCTCATTATATGTCCTCCTTTTCATCCATTTTGCAGTCCAGCCAAACTGGCCCTCTCTTTGTTCCTTACATATGGCCCCACATCTCCCATTTCTATTACACTGGCCATTCTATTACACACATGTCCAAAATGCATTCATTTCTCACCTCTAGCTCACAAAATGCTTCACTTCCTTCAAAAGTCATCCCAAGTACCATCTCCTACATGAATTTTTTCTTGATCCTCCTCTTTCCCCTCCAATATAACAAAAAGAGAGATGGCTGTGGAGGCAGAAGACCTATTTTCAAGTGGATCCTTCGATGCTTACTTTGTGACTTAGCACATGCCCCTTAACTTATCTGGGCCTCGGTTTTCCCATTTGAAAATGAGGGAGTTGGACCCTATGAGTTCTGAGGTCCCTTCTAGCTCTTGATCAGGGTGTTATGATTCCTTGTTACTTCATATTTTTTCTGTCTATACTTCTCTATGTATGTGTTGCCCACACTGTCCTCAGTGAATGTAAGCTCCTTGAGAGCAAAAATTGTTTTAATTTTTGTCTTTGTATCCCCAAGACCTAACACAATGTTTGGCACATAGTAGGGACTTAATGAATGTTTGCTGATTTGTTGATTGGTTGTATCTGTTCATTGCTAAATTAAGTAGCTTGACCTGCAAGAGTAAAGGGAAGGATGATAGTGAAGGTGGGAATTAGGGGGCTGCTTCTTAGTTTCCTTGGGGCTGGGCCAACATTGGAAAACCCTGAGCCAGCAAGAGGTCCAGCTGGGCTTGCCTAGGAAAGAAAAAGGAAATCAGCCACCAGAAGGAGATGTTTTCTCTTCCGCAGACATTCCCCCAGCTCAGCAGAATGTAAGGGCCAATCAGTATAGTAGGGTCATATCTTCTGACAAACAACAAAAATATTTTATTGGTCTCCCATATAAACTTATTAACCCCATAACCCTGTTCAGTTGTAGAGATCCATGGTCCAGAGAGGACAAGGGCCTATTCTCTACAGGGCCCACAAGTGGGCACCAGATGTTCCATGAAACCTGGGTTGTGGACAGAGGGAGCTCAACCAGTGGGCCACCTCCCAGCCTCTTCCACTGTTGAAGCTCAACAGATCTGCCTCTTCTCGCAGATCCAGTTGTCAGAGGATTGCTCACATGTAAAGTCATTCCACTTGCCATGATGCAACATCATGACACAGTTTTCTTTCCCTTGGCTGTCATTGGGCTCCCCAAAGTTCCAGTTGCTGTGGGGACACAAGCACACACACACACACACACACACACACACACACACATATACACACAGAGGCCATAGTCAGTCCTAAGGCAATGGTTCCAAGTTAGATTGTCATCACTCAAAATGTGATTCTAGATGTCAACTTCATTGGAGGATCTAGATGCATGTAGACGCAACTCAACTCTAGACTGGCCCAAGAGATTGAGGTTTTTACCTCTAAGCTGCTTAAGAATTCCAGGGAGACAGGCTGCCTCTTCTGGTAAGTCCTCTTTAGCCATTCCAGCCCTTAGTCATCTCTCCCTCTTAGGCTTCAGCTGTATTTGTTATTTACACCCTTTATGGGGCAATTGATAATTATTTACTCATGAGTAGGAAGGAACTTCAGAGGACATCTAGTCCAGTTATACTAAAATGGGAATCCCCTCAATAACATGTCCAACCAAATTTTTTTTCCTTAAAGCCTTTTGGTGAGGACTTAAAATCACTACTTCCCAAAGCAGCTCATTCTACTTTGGGACATCTCAAATTGTTAGAAAGTTGTTGTTGTTTTGTTTAATTTTTTTCTCACTGCAACAAGTACACATTTCTCCTAATAAATTTTTTTTTTCCGTTAGTCTTAATTATGTCTTCTGAAGTCAATCAGAATGAGCTTAATCCCTCTTCCACATCAGGATGCATCAAAAAGCTTGGAGATAGCTATCATGTCCTGCCCTGCCTGAGTCTTCTTTTGTTTGGAGACCTCTCTAGTGCCTTCAACCAATCCTTCTATAAGGTCTCAAGGCACCTCTCTGGATGGACTCCAGGTTCTGAGTTTTTTTTCAAAATACCATGCTCAAAACCAACCACAATAGTCCAGATGTAGTCTGATCATGGCAGAATACATCTTCTGAAATTGTACAGTGTGTCTCCCAATACAAGGGGAGATCCTGTTAGCTTTCATCTTATTACCACTGAACATTTGCATTGTATTGAAATGGTATTTAATTTCATATATATGCATACATACTTACATATATACATATGCATACATTATATAAACTAGACTTTTCCCTGAAAACACAAACCATTTCTTACTCATCTCTATATCCTTTTCTGCACCCAGTGTAGGGTCCCACATCTAGTGAGGGTTCAGTAAATATCAATTGAATGAATGAGTTAATTGGGGAGTCCTTACAGACCTGAGGCCCCATTACTAGCCAAACCCTTTTAAGGATGGGTCAGGGGCTCACATGCCTATATCTTGGATTGAGACTCACGTGTAGCCAAGTTCTGTGCCATCAATCCATTTATGAACCCCTTCTTGGACCTTTCTGAGGCCAATCCAGTATCCAAGAATATCAGTAGGGGTCAGGAAGTTCTGGATAGGGAGAGAAAGATGAGATTCATTCAGTTGATGTTAAACTAATGGAAACTAGCATCTAATTTCTAGCCTGGCACAATGCATGGAGACAAGAGGAAAAGCTATTTTTGATATTAAGGATTTGTAGATGGTGAGGAAGGACTCACGGAAGATACAACTATTAACATAAGGCAGCACATGAGAGATGAAACCCTGCATTCTTGAAAGAATCAAACATCTAAGTTTCAGTCCAAATCTAATCATTCAAGAAGCTATGTGAGAACTGTATGGCTCTTAATCCTCCTTGAGCCTCAGTTCCTTCCTCTATATGACAATGATATTGCTCACAATATGATCACAAATAAGAGTCAGATGAGAGTGAATGAAAAGATTTTTGCAACCAACAACTTTTAAAGAAATATGAGGGTTATATATGTAAAGCTTATATCACATTGCACTCCATCTTGGGATGGGGGCAGTGGAGGGAGGGGGAGAAAATTTGGAACTCAAAATTTTATGGAAGTGAATGTTGAAAACTAAAAATAAATTAATTTAAAAAAAGAAATATGAGGGCTAATTAAAATTTGTTAGTGCATGTTACATTACTATAAGTGTACCAGGGACAATAAAGTCTCTCCATCTCCATTAATATAGTTGAATAACCTGACCCAGTTGACCTAAAGAAATATAGAAGATAGAAAGATGAGAGAGCCACAGAGTGAGTGTGTGTGGAGGGAGAAAGAAAGGAGGGGGAGAGAGAGGGAGAGAGAAAGAGAGAGACAGGGAGGGAGAGGGAGAAAGGGAGAGAGGAAGGGAGAGAAAGTGAGGGGGAAAGAGAAAAGGAGGGAGAGGATGGAGAGAGAGGGGGAGGGAGGAAGGAGAAAGAGAGGGAGGGGGAGAAGGGGGACACATAGGCACAGAAGCACAGAGGGAAGGAAGGAAGAAAGGAAGGAAGGAAAGAAGGAAAAAAGAAAGAAAGAAAGAAAGAAAGAGTACTCACAAGGGTTCCTTTTTGATTTCTACCACTCTCTTGGTGGGGATGGAGAATAGAGAGGAGCAGAACATTGTTCAGGCATTTGGAAGAGAGGAGGTAAGTGGCAGGTGACTCATCAAAAGCCACCATGAAACTGAAAATAGAGACATATTAGGGTAATGCCATAAGGGAGCTTTCTCATAGCCCCCTTAGGGATTTCTGCGAGAGCCTATGAGAAATGAATATTCAAGTTCTTTAAAAACAACAGCAGTGACTATGAAGACAAACCAAAAACAAACAGAAAGGAACAAAGGTGCCCTGATTGGATGTATTCTTATGAATTGTAAACATTCAACTGAGGCAGAGACTCCATATAGACCAGTGATCAAAAGATGTGATCTTTAGGAGGCAAAGCTACAGAGACCAGTGATGAGGACCTTTGAGGAGCTGCCATGACATCATAGCTGCAAGAGAGGGAAAGTGTTGATGAACATCCTTCAGCTATATGTGGCAAAAGCTATTAGGGAAAAAGTCATTGGGTTGTGAAGGAAAGCACTAAGAGGGAGGAACAAACCTTTCTTCACTAGCTTGCTATAACTGTTCCCAGGCCAGGACTATAAGTCTCGGAGATTAGGTAGATTTCTTGGTTAGGGCTTGCCAATGTGAAGTTCTTATCCCTAGGGTCTTAGATATGATTCTTCTCTATATCCATTAATTTAGAAATAAAAATGATTCATACTTTGAATTTGTGTCCCTGAGTACTTATGAAGGGAGCTGATGGCTACCTTTGTGGGGTGGGGGTGGTGTCAGATACTGGCATTCCCAAATTCCACTTGGCTGGGACCAGTAAGTAAGAGAGAGGGACGAGAAGTCCCCAAAATGTACTTAGGTACTTTGTGTGAGGAGGAAGCCTTTGACAAGAGAGCTATATGTAAATAAGAGAGACTAATTACAAGAAGAGGGATAGGTCTTTGCGGACTGTGGTAGTCAGAGAATGGATCACTATCTCCTCCAATAGTTTCTCTACCTTTTCCCACCCCTTAAATCTAAATATAACATTGACTACCTTGATCCATCCCACTTCCCTGAGGACCAGGTATTCCACCCCCTACAAGGTTTTCCAGTACCCTTGAGGGGGGGGGTGCTATATAACTTCTAGCTTCTAGTTTCTCCCTTTTCTAATGAATTATTCAAATACCTGCCAAGGAAATCTTCCTGGGAAACAAAAAATGATCATGTTTTTTCATGTAATATAATAGTTTACCTAGAAGATTCTTAAAGGGTCACCTACAAATTAATTGAAGTAATTAATTACTTCAACAAAGTATTAGAATATTGAATAAACCTACACAAATCCTAAGTCTTTCTGTTTGTTGCCAACAAAATTTAACTGGAAGAGATGGGAAAAGAAATTATATTTAAAATATTTAGACTTTATAAAATATCTGAGAGTCTGCCTAGCAAGACATACATGCAGGAATTATATGAATATAAGTATAAAACACTCCTTATATAAAGACAGCCCTCAGCCCTCAATTGCTCAAAGTTGAGCTGTGCTAATATATAAAAAAGGACAAGTTTACCTAAATTAATTTGCTTATTCAGTGTCATACCAATCAAACTGCCAAAGGATGACTCTATAGAACTAAAAAAAATAATGAATAATAATTCATTTGAAAGAATAAAAGTTCAAGAATCTAAGGAAAATAATGAAAAAAAGGGAGGGAGGGAGACCCAGCAGTACCAGATCTCAAAGTAGAGTAGAAAACAATAATTATCAACACTATTTAGTACTGGTTAAAAAAATAGAAAAGTTGATCAGTCAGGCAGATAAGAATCACAGTATCCAATAGCAAATGAACATAATAGCATAGTATTCAATAAAACTAACGGTTCCAACTATTAGGGTAAGACCTCTCTAGTCAACAAAAACTGCTGCAAAAACTTGAAAGCAATCTGTAAGAAATGAAGTTAAGATCAACATGTCATACCATATGCCACTATAAATAGGTTATATCATAAACAAATTCAAGGAGCAGAGAAGTAATATATTTCACAACTTTGGGTAAGAGAAGAGGTGTTGTCCAAACAGGAGATAGAATTAGAGGGAAATAATGGACAATTTTGATTCATGAAATCGAAAAGCTTTTGCATAAACAATATCAATGAAACCAAAATGAGAAGAAAAACAGTTAACTAGGGAGGAATTATGTAGCAAGTTTCTCTAAAAAAAAAGTCTAATGTCAATCCATCCACAGCAGTTATTAAGAATTATATTCAAGATGTTTAGTGAACCAATTCAAATGTATAAGAACAAGAGCTTTCTCCCAGTAGACAAATGATCAAGGGATGTGAACAGGAAGTTCTCAAAAGAAGAAATCCTCTGAGTCACCAATAATGAGAGAAATACAATTTAAGACCCTATGGCCCTACCACACACCTTTGATTGGTAAAGGTGGCAGAAAAAAGGAAAATGACAATTGTTGGAGGCAATATGGTAGGGAAGACACACTAATGCATTGTTAGTGGAGCTGTGAATTGACATATTCTGGAAAGCAATTTGATATACTAAATGGTGTATGTCCTTTGACTGCGTGATTCCACTACTTTAGGATACTTAGTAAACATCGTAAAGAGAGGGAAAAAAAAGAGGGAAAGTATCCAGTTATACAAAAATATCCATAGTGGCACTTCTGTTGTTATTAGTAGTGTAGCAAAGAACCAGAAACTAAGAAGGTGCCCACCAATTGGAAAATGGTTGAATAAATAATATGAGTGTAGTGGACCATTACTGAGTCATAAGAAATGATGAAAGAGTTAGATTCAGTGAGACTTGGGAAAAACTGAATGAATTGATGCAGATTCAAGTGAGTAGAACCAGGACCACAACTTAAACAATGACTCCAACACTATAAAGAAAAAAACAACTTTGAAGACTTAAGAACCCTGATCAATATAATGACCAACCATATCTCCATAGGGTTTATAATTAAGCATGTAACCAGCTTCCTGAAAGAGAGGTGAGGGAGTAGAGGTGCAGAGTGAGATATATATTTTGGATCTAGCCAGTGTATAGACTTGTATTACCTGAGTCTGCTAACTTGTTACAAGGGAGGATTTGTGTGTCCTCCTTCCCCCAGAATGGAGGGGGACAGTAATCAATGAGTTGGAATAAGAGGAGGATGGAGATAGTGATACAAAAAGAAAGAAAGAAAAGAAAGAAGGAAAGAAAGAAAAAGGGAAGAAAGCAAATAAAGAATGTTAATAAAGAATTTTTAAAATGTATGGAGGAGGATAAAAGGAGGTTCAGGGAAACACAAACAAGTAGAACAACTTTGGAACTACCATGCTCAATCAATATCTACTTAATAAAGTAAGATGTATATGATGGAACTTGGTAATTTCATTTATGATCCTCTTTTTCTATTCTTTCTATATGGAAATGTTCATGGTTGTTGGTGTTTTAAGAATTTCAGAATCACAAAAAAGTAAAACTTTTAAAAGATTAGTTTCCCTATTGTTACATGTATGACTTTGTTTCTCTCTTGTTGAAAAACCTATTACTTCTAAGATAAAATGCAAAGTCCTTAGCCTGGCATGCAAGGTTTTTGACAATTTGGCTCTAACCTATCTTTCCAGTATTATTTCACATTATTTCCCTTTGGTGTTCCAACCAAACCTAACAACTAGTAGTCCTCCATCTTATCTTGCCCTCCTCTACCATTGTGCACTTACATGGCCCCTCCTCCTATTCACTTGTTAAACTCCTTTCCTTCCTTCAGGCCCATTTCAGGCGTTACCTAATTCATGAAATCTTCCTTGAGCCCCTGAAACCCTTCTTCCCAGCAGAAAGTGAGCACCCCTTTCTCTATCTTCTCATCACATTTTGCCCGGGCCTCCCCTCTGCAGTGATTGAACTCTCCCTTATAAAGAATTATTTGTATATGTCAGTATCCCTGTATATTTCAATGTATGTTCCTTAAAGGCTGGGATTGTATAGTTTTAAAAAAAATTTTTTGTTTTAGCATTCTCTGCTGATAATTATAATTACAAAGCCCATTTCTCTAGCATTTAAGGTTTACAAAGCACTTTCCTCACAATAACCCTAGGAAAAAGACAGTGGACCCAATTTGCAAATTGAGAAATTGAGGTTGAGATAGGTTAAGTCATTTGTCTAGAGTTATACAGCTAGTATGTTGCAGAGCAAAGATTCAAACTCATATCTTTTTTGCTCTAAGAACAATATGCTTTGTGCTACACCACCTTGGTGTCTACTTTGGCTTCTATTTTGTCTCAATCACAAAATCCCTTCAATGTAATTAATGCTTAATCAATATTTGCAGAATTGAATTGAGGTGGAACATTAAGGAAGGGAAGAGTTTGGAACAGTTTTGGATGGACTGAGTGGTTGAGGAGAGTTGGTCGCTTCAGGGAGTGAGTGATGAGTATATCCAGTGAACAGGGATCCAAGCCCCTCCCTTCTTTGACCTCACCTGCTCATCTCGGTTATTAATAATCACCAGGTGAGCTTGCTTCTGGACACAGTCATCCCTGGCCTGGGACCAAGTGAGCTTGTTCTCGGAGAAGAAGTAACAGGAACCTTGGAAGTCCCTCCAGGTACTAGGGCAGGGTTGGCAGGAAGATCCTGGTGAGGGGAGGGGGGAGAGAGGGAAAATTGACATCAGTTTTGAGCTCTTCATAGAGGGAGACAGTTTCCCAGTCTCTTACTCTCGCTTCACCTGTGAACAGGTGATCAGTCAGCCAGTCAGTAAGCATTCATTAAATAACTACTATGTCAGTCAGCAATAAACATTTATTAAGTACATACTACGTGCCAGGGACTGTGTTAAGTGGTGGGGATACGAAGAATGGCAAAACACAGCTCTTGCCCTTGATGAACTCACATTCTAACAGGATTTGAAACAGAGCAACAAAAGCCAAGGATGGGATGGGGTTGTTGAATTGAGGGCAGGGGGATCTGGGTTATAGGATGACAGGATAATAAAATCCTTCATCTTTCAGGCTAACAAGGAACCTCAAAGACCATTTTGTCCAGTTTCTAAAATGGTGCAGGATTCCCTTTTATGGCATTGTTTGAAGATGTCCAGTGATAGGTCAGTCAACAGGCATTTATTAAATGCCTGCTGTGTGCCACGCACAGTACTAAGCACTGGAAATATAAAGAGAGTCAAAAGCTAGTCTTTCCTCTAAAGGAACTCACAGTCTAATGGGGAGACAACATGTAAACACTTGTGTACAAACACAACATATACAGGATGAATCAGAGATAACCAGTAGACCCTGGCATTAAGGAGTACCAGGAAAGGCTTCATGTAGACCATGGGGTCTTAGCTTAGACTTGAAGGAAGCTAGGGAAGCCAGAAGGAGGTCGAGAGGAGGCAGGGGGAGCAGTCGGTGAAAATACCCAGTGTCTGGAGATAGAAGGTCTTTAATTCCCAAGGCAGCCTTTTCCTTTGGAGGATAGTTGACAATAGTTATAGTTGACATTCACATTTTGCTTAAAAAGTGTTTCCCTCCTAACAATCTCATGAATAAGTATGTAAGTAGAATTAGCATGCCCATTTTATAGATGAAGAAACTTAAACTCAGATAGCTTGAGTGACTTGCCTATAGTCATAAAGCTGGTAAACAGAGAATTGAGATTCAAAATCAGGTCTCTCTGGATTCCAAGTCCAGTGCTCTTTCCATTAAACTACAGTTCTGCTTGTGGCTTTAATTGTTAGGAAAATTTTCTGAACATAATAAAGGTTTGAGAACTAACAAGCATCCTGGGATTCTTACGTTCGTAGGTCCAAGCATTCCCTTGTAGCCTTGGGAATTATTTGAACTCCTGATCTTTGAGTCAGAAAAGTGGTGGGGTTGGGAAGGAGAAATGGATAATACGGAGTAATGCAGCAGAGAAGAGAGAGATTGAGGTGGGATATTGGACCACTGAAAGCCCCTCAGAACACATAACTTGTACTGAGGTTATTAATTGTAACCACCTTGTCAAGAACCGAGGGAAGTTCTAGGAAAGGGCTTTCCCTAATTTCTCTTCTTTGTTCTTGTCCAGGATCAGACATTGTAATATTCTCTATTTGCTTTTTTGCCTAAATGTTTCCTATATCCTGATCTTGCCTTAAATACAGAAAGGTCAGAAATTAGTTGGAGATACACAAAATTTTAAATTTAGGACAGAGAACCAGACCTATGGGTTAGAATTTTCCTAGCTGAGAGCTTTAAGCAATTGTGATTGTACTACAACTTTTTGTCTGACGTCAATGCCATATTACTGCAAAGAAAAGGACTGCTCAGGCTTGAAGGTCATTATATTGACTCTAGGATGAAAAGTAAGCTAATTATTGCAATATGGTATAGATAATTAAATCTCCAGAAAGAAATTAAATCTCCTTCTACCACGGAGGAGATGGTAGCCAAAGATCACATTCTGAAATAGTGGCGTCAAACTCAAATAGAAATGGGGGCCCCTAAACCACTTAAGAGTCCTGTGGGTCACATATTGACTTAAACCATATGTTTCCATTATTTATGTTCTTTTTTATGTATTTTGTTTAATATTTTCCAATTATATTTTAGTCTGGTTTGGGTGATACTTGGGAGTATTTTGGCCCTTGGAATATGTGTTTGAAACTTCTGCCCTAAACTATCCTATCAGGGAAAAAATAGAGACCATTTAATGGTGTTACACTTATATTGTGTCAAAATCTGCTTTCCTGTTACTTTCACCTAATGTTTCTACTTCTGGCCCTGGGGCCAAGCAGAGCAATTTGAACTCCTCTTCCATATGACTATTCTTCAAATCCTTGGTAGCTTTCATGCTCACCCCACCTTCAAATCTTCTCTATTCCAGACCAAACACAATCAGTTCTTTTAACCAATTGTATAGCTCGATTGCTAATCACCTTTTATGGAAGTTCTTCACTTTGACAATGTCCTTCTTTTAATATGGCATTCACAACTAGACACAATATTCCAGATGTCTGAAAAATGGCTTTCAAACTCTTTTTTGGGAATTTCCACTGTCATTCCATAGGGAATGGGTGAGGTCAACCTGATGAGCAGAGTACAGAGAGACCATGCAGAGCAATGGAAAGAACAATGGATTTGGAGCCAGGAGACCTGGCTTTGAATCCTGGCTCTGCCAGTTACTACTTGAGCAAGTCACATGACTTTTCTGGGCTCCAATTTCCTTACCTGTAAAAAAAAGGGGTTGGACTGGATGCCATCTAAGGCTGATTCTCACTCAACATTTGTGACCCTATGGATAACCTCAAAGTTTCTGGGCTCCAGGGCAAAGCCCACCATTCACTTCACCTCTCATGGATTAGACATTATTCTCCCATTAAGGAAGGCTGACCCTAAATTAGTTGTAAGAGAAGTCAAAGTGACATGAGGTGATGTTTACTCTGCAGAAGACTTAGGGGACACAAGATGGCTATCTTCAAATATTTTTAAAAATTGTCCTAAGGAAAAAAGATTTAACTTATTCTGCTCATTCCCAGAAGGCAAAACTAAGAAAAATGAAGAGAGAGAAGTTGAAAAGAAACAGATTTAGGTTCCATATCAGTGAAAACTTGATAACAATGAGAACTATCTGAAAGCATTAAGAGGTAATGTGTTTCCTATCAAGAAGTCATCAATGGGGGTTAATGGCCACTTATTCATAATATTGATAAAAATTGAACTCCTGTTCATCTGCAGATTTTACTTGATGCACTTTGCATAAGATACTAAGAAAAAAGATGATTTCAGAAAGATATGGGAAAATTCATATGAACTGATGCAGAGTGAAGTGAGCAGAAGCGGAGAAACAATTTATACTATAATATCAATGTTATAAAAAGTTTTGAAAGTCTTCAGAACTCTGATCAACTAAATGATCAACCATGATTTCGGAGGATTGAAAAAGAATACTGCTTTGTCTCATTACAGAGAAATAATGGACTAGTATTCAGAATAAGAAATACTTTTTTGGTAACCAATATGAGAATATACTTTGCTTCACTGTGCTTATGTTATACAGTGGTTTTGAATGTCTTTTTTTCCTTATTAAACAGGGGTGGGGGGATAAGAAGTAGAAAAAATGAATGCTTGATAATTAAAAAAATATAAAATTATAAAAAGCACATGGTGAATCAAGCAGTCAGGAAAACAATACTTACAATGACTAAAGCAATGTAAATAGAAAACAAAACAATCATTAAGTCGATTGAAAATAAATTGCCAAATGACAAAGAACAAACAAAAGGCCAAAAAAGAGGGGTGAGAAGACACTCTCTCTTACACCTTTGGAGAGATGGGAGGTCCATGAGTATGGAATATTGCATGTGTTTTCAGATTTTTTATTTATTAATCAGCCTTGCCAATTTTTTTCTCTTCCCATTTTTCTTTTCTTTTTAAAAAAATATTATTTGTTATATGAGATGGCTCTCTGAGATGGAGAAAGGAGAGAGGGAAAGAAAGAGGAAAAATTTTAGTGATAAAAAAACAAGAAAAATCAGTAAAATTTACTCTAAAAAAAAGAGACCTTTTCCAATTCCAAAATTCTATGTCAATGTGTTGAGTACATCAAGTTATAGTCTTCTGAAGAGCCCACTCCACAGGTACTTTGCAGATTGTGTTATTCCATGAACAAAGGAATATAAACAGTCTGGTACATTAGAACTGGGAGGGACCTCAGAAGATACCTGGTACAATCATTACCTGAATTCCACCTAAAATATATTCTCTAAATGGTCATTCAGTCGCCACTTGAAGATTTTTGGATTCAATCTATGAAAACAGACCTCAGAGGACACATGATACAACCCCAAATGAGCATAAATTTCCTGTATAACAAAGTCCAAAGTGACATCTAGTCTCCATTTGAAAACCTCCAGAATCAGTACATGGGAAGGGATAAGGGTCCATCAATCATCTCTCATGTCTCCTGCCACCCTAGTCTATAGGAGGACCTATCTCAACTTCCTAGAGCCATACTCCCTGATTCCACCTCACCATTTCCATTCCTCACAGCCTCCAGTCCACGAAACATCTCACTCCGAATGTTGTCTCGGTCTTCTCTTGCCTCAGCTAGTTCCCGGGACACTATAAATGCACATGGATTGTGATCAGCACAGGATGTAGGGTTAGTATTAGTACATGGGAGTAAGCCCTTAGGGAAGTGGAGGGACAGAGGTAAGATTATGAACCCAGAGAGAGATAGACCAGAATTAGATACTCATTTGAGGAAGATAGGTTAGGGTTGTTCCATGGAGAAGGGTCAGAGTCCTTCTAGGGATCAAGGTCAGGGCTAGTCCGCTGGGAGGGATTGACATCTATCCAAAGGAAATGATTAAGATCAATGTGAAAGAAAGGGTTGGAAAGAGCCCAATGAGAAGGGTAAGAGTCAGGCCAACAGGAGTAGGAGTCTGGGACAGCCTATGGGGAAAGGTTAGGTCCAGGTGGGGAATGAGAGAGTGGGAGGAGAGGGAATTGTGGGTGTCACAGGGTTGGAGGGTGTACATCAGGTCTTGAGGTCTGAACATACAGTTAGTACTCAGGCTGGCTTGACTCTCTTGCAGGTTCCTCAGTTCCTTAGCCATTGTTTCAGCTGAAGGAAGACAAAAATGCCCCATCCCCACCTCTTGTGAGCATCTTCTTAGGAGCCACAAATAAAGATTGTCAGAGTTGAAAAAGACATCAGAGGTCCTTTAGACCAACCAGGAGCAATTATAAAAGAAATTTCCTCTACAATATCCCCAACAAGTAGTTGTCTAGACTTGAAGACATCTAGTAACAGAAAACTCACTATACCCTAAAAATAGGCCATTATACTTTTAGACAGTGATAATTGAACAACTCCTTATCCCCAATTTCTCTCTACCCTTTCCTAGGTATGTCCACTTTTCTTGTTTTTTTAACTTCAGCCTCAATTGGTCCTAAAGCAGTTCTAGCCCCACCCTTATCTGGACCACAGTCACTCACATGATGCTCAACTATGGAACAAAGCACAGGATCATAAGATCATAAAACTGGAACATAGAGTTGAAAGAGACCTCAGAGGACATCTAGTCCAAAGTGCTAATTTTCCAGATGAGGAAACTGAGGCCCAGGGAAATTTAATAACTTGACTAAGGTCACACAAAGAATAAGTAGCAGAGTGTAAATTAGAACTCAGAATTTGTCACTCCAAATTTAGTACCTTTCCGCTGCTCCATGATTGAAGCTTCCACTTTAGAATCCTCAAAGAGAGACCTGCTGAGGAATCCCCATCCCTGTGACCTTGGTTTTCTCTTACCCTTTGTTTTTAGAGTCTGATGCTTGTTGTCCAAGGTGCTCAAGGCTACCTGAAGAACTTCCAGCCTCCCTGAATTCATTGACCCTGGTCACAGAGGAGAAGGATGGAGAGAAGGTAGAGTCAACCCCATCAGAGAAGCAAGGGGTCAGTTCAGAGCTTGAGCCCAGGAAGATCTTCCCAACACATAACCATATTCCATGTGTCCACATTGCTGTTTATTCATGTATCTATCCCCCATCTCATCCCTATCCCATCCCTCATATTGTCCTCACTCTTTTCCCATCTTATTTCACCTTTGAAAAGGGACTTCAGAGGACACATGATACAACCCTTAACTGAGCATAAGTTCCTTATATAACAAAGCCCAAAATGACATCTAGTCTCCACTTGAAAACCTCCAGAATAAGTACATGGGAAGGGTTGAGGGTGAACAAATATCAACCATTGTCTCATCTCTATCTTTCCTTTTCCTCTTCCTCCTCCTCCTCCTCCACCTCTTCTCCTCTCTGTCTCTTTGCCTCTGTCTCTTACACACACACACACACACACACACACACACACACATACACACATACACACACACAATTCAGTCTCTGGGGTCTGTTGGCCCTTCTGGAGGTTCAGAAGTGCTCCAAATATCTATATTTACCACAAGGGCTTAGGCATTACAATCCCCAAAATGCTATTATCACTTCATTGGGAGTGGCACAGGATTCAGGATCTGCATCCTCTCTGATCAGCAACACAAGCAGTCTGGTATTTGTCTCATTTTTGCCCTAGATCCTAATCCCTGGGGGACCCAATCATATTGCCAAAGATTTGCATCCAGATGCAATCCCTCCCTCACACATACACTGAACATGATTCAACGGACACAACTCTCTTCCTTCCACATACTCACAGTCCCTTGTATGCACAATGAATAATAAACTATACGTGCTGTTCTCTCTCCCTCTGCCAAAACCAGATTAAATTACCTAATGCCAAAGGATGACTAGCTTCAAGAGCACATATCATAGCATCAGAGATAAAGAGCTGGAAGGGTCCACAGATACCACTTAGTCCAACCTCCCCTCACTTATTTTTTAAAGATGAAGAAAATAGGGCCCAGGGAAATTGATTGGTTTGTCCAGAATTGTATAAGTAGTAGCAGATGTAGGATTAGAACCCAGATCCTCTGATTCTAGAGCCAAAGATTTTTCCATTGCAATACACTGCCTTAAGTGCCTTTTTATTTCTTTTGTAGTCACTGGGTACTCAGTGATTGTGGAGAGTACTGATCTCTATACCTTCTCTGGTTAGCTATCTGACTTCCCTACCATGCCTACTTCCTATCCTTAATCTTAATACCATTTCAGTCCCCATCCCATTTCCCATCTCATCCCCAAATCAACTACTACCCATCTCACCACCCCATTCCATCTCCCATCTCTTTTCAATATTACCCCTATCTCATCACTATCCCACACCCTATTCTATTCCCCTTCCTTCTCCCCTTTCACCTTCAACTGTGGCCCAAGTGAAAAGATTGTGGGCAGAACCCAAGCATATAGGTTCCCAACCCAAAAAAATTGAGGGTTCACTCACCATTGCCTTGTATTCCCTCCAGGTGCTCCACTTCCTTTGATAAGTCCGTGACTTGGAGAAACAAGGGACACATTTATCTCTCTTTCTCTCTCCCTCCCTTCCTCTCTCTCTCTTTCTCTCTCTCTCTCTCTCCCCCATTCCTCTCTTTTGCTCCTTCTTCTGCTATCCTCCCTCCCTCCTTTTATCTCCTTCCCTTCATCTTCAGTTCTCATAGTTCTAGTACCCCATCCCAACTGCCTTTAGGCTTTCATTTACTCTCTATCACCCTCCCTGTCTCAGAGCTCCTGGAGTCAGGACGCTGGTAACCATGATACTAAAGAGGGTCTGGACTCCTGGATCTCTACAGTCCTTCCCTCTCTTCTTACCCTTGGCCAACAGCATACTAAGAAGAGCTATCCACAGAAAAGAGGTCACAGAAAATAGCAGGTAAAAGGGAAGGGCAGGACGGCCTCCAGGAAGCTGCTTCACCCACCACCCTAGAGAAGACACTGATGTTAGAGAAGGAACAAGAGAGGAAACTTCCCCTTTCATCCCCTCCCACATAGATGGGTGGTCTCCTTACAAAGACCAGGGTAAGGCTCACTATATACCTATATAGTCTTTTGGGGACCCTTGAATTTGGGGACCTGGAAATGAGACTTCAAAAACTTAGGAGGAAAGGATTATAGGAGCATATATATTTAAAGCTAGACTTTAGAGATAATCTTTAATTTCTGGTCTTGCCCTTTATTTTATAAATCAGTAACTAGTAACTCAGAGAGGTGAAAAGGCTGTGATCTGTATAGTAACTGACAGGTGAACCCAGTTCCTCTGACTCAGAGTCCCATGACCTTTCCACACCATCATATGCATTTGGAAGAGAACAAGGGTTGGAAGGGATTTGAAAGAAATTAGTAGTTTGGTAGATTGGAGGGAAGGAGGGAAAGGTTGGTGGGAAGTTGGAGAGAAAAAGACATATGGAGTAAGGAGAAAGATGAGAAGCATGGAGATAAGGAGCTAGTAGAGAATATTGAGGGATCAAACAAAAATAGAAGAGATTGGGGGAGATAAGAAAAATGGGGGGGTGAAATGAGAAATAAGAGAGAGTTAGTGGAGATAGGAGAGGGCTTGGGTAAAGCAAGGAGAGAATAAAATGGAGGAAGGATATTATAGAGGGGAAAAGAGAGGAGGGGCCCTAGAGAAGACAGGGTAGAGGGCCAGAATCTAGACTTCAGGATTACCCCTTTGCCCCAGCAACCTTTCCAAAGCTGAGAATCCAACAAAACATTCAACTCTAAGATCGGGTAGGTTTGTTCAGCAAAATAGCCAGTCTTTTAGCTCACCAGCTTCCCAGGGTCGCCATTGGCGCTTGGTGTCAGCCATCTCAAATTCCTCAGAGATCTCCCATTGAGTGTATTGGGCAGATTCCATGGATGTGCAGCTTTCTCTCCTCTGGGAAGCCCTTGCTTGGAAGGTTATTTTAGTAAACTCCACCCTTCACTTAAAAGGAAATGATTTGTTGCTCCACCCACTCCCCCTCCCTCAACTCCCCTTAAATTTTACTTCTTCCTTTCACAGTTTTTTCTTACTCAGCACTTAAACCTGGAGAGGACTCTGTCTGTCTGCACCTGCATTACAAAGGAGCCCTGGGAGCTGATGGTAGGGATAACTAAATCTTTCAGAACTCACTTAAGCATGTGGGCATGATAGCTGTCTTCATACCTAAAGAGCTTCCATGTGAAAGACAGATAAGTCTTGTTCAGTTTGGGATGACAGAATTAGTAGTTATAGTTAGAAGGAAAATACTTCTGTTCAATGTGAGGAAAAATTTACTAACAAAGCTGTCCAAAAGTTCAGTGACCTGCTATCTTGGGGGACAGTAAGCTTGATGTCACTAGAAGTCTGCTAGTGTAGGCTGGATGACCTTTTGATGGGGATATTGTATAAGGAACAATTACAGGTTGGATTAGACAGACTCTAAATTCCCTTCCTCCATAGAGATTCTCTGATTGCTCTTCTCTTTTTCCTGGTCTCAGGCCCTAGGATTTCAAAAGAACTGAACAGAGGTCTGGGGTTCATTCACCTATTCTCTTTTATATATCCAAGGCATCCAGCTCCATTTCCTGCTGCCATCATCAAAGGATATGGAGGTTCCAACAGTCAGTCGTGAGTGTCCATAGCTTCTCAGGTTTGGCATGTCATTGGTGGAGTTGGAAAGGGGGAGAGGAGTGCCTGAAGGAGAGTCTCTGTACTTTATTCCACCTAAATCTGGTCTTTAACCTCACCTCATCCTCCAATGATTCTGCTACTTTCTGCTTCTTCAATTTATTATCCTCATACCTCTACTTTGCCCTCTCCTCCCATTTAGTTTTTCTCTTTGATCAATCCCTTTCTCATTTTGATCTTCAATTTCTCTTTGTACACTGACTTCTTCCCTATTGCTTGCAGACATGTCCAGACCTCCCTCTTAAAGAAAAGCCTTTGCTGGACCCTGCTACCTTCTCAAGCTATCATCCTATAGTTTTCTTCCGTTTCAATGCCAAGCTCTGAGAACAGATGTTTACATTTGTTGCTTCCAGTTCCTCACTCCCCACTCACTTCTTTTTTTTTGATTAAATTAAATTTTCTCCAATTAACAGGCATTTATTTTCTTTCCCTTCTACCATCCCCACAAAGAAAATAAAAACTCTTGTAACAAATATGTACAGTCAAGCAAAACAAATTTCCACCTTGGTCATACTCCAGAAGTATGTCTTATTCTGCATATTTAGTTCATCACCTCTGTCAGAAAGTGAGTAGTATTTGTTATCATTGGTCCTCTGAAATCATGATTGCTCCTTGCATTGATTAGAGTTCTTAAATTTTTTCAAAATTGTCTTTATAATGTTATTGTTATTGTACAAATTGTTCTGATTCTACTCACTTCACTCAGCATCAGTTCATAGAAGTTAACAATCAATAAAATTATGTAATTGGGGAAAAAGAAAATATTATTTTAAAATAATCAATAAACTTTATTGAGGACCTACTATGTGCCAGGCACTGTGCTAAGTGCTAGAGATAGAAATAAGAAAGACAGTCCCTGTCTTCAGGGTGCTTACAATCTAGTTGGGGAAGACAGCTGAAAAGTAAGAGAGGTTAAGATAGAGTGGCCAGAGGGTATCCAGAGTAGGGGAGTAGAAGGGGGATGATGTCTGAGGGTTCAAGAGCAGATAATAGGAAATGAAGTTATTGGGAAAATTTGGAGCCTTCTATAAAAGGAAGACTTAAGAGGAGTTAATTGTTTCACCCTCCAGCCCTTCAATCAGAGGAGAGAGACAACTGAGGGTATTGAGGAAGTGTTGAGTATCAAAACTGAGTCAATCTCCAAGATAATGAGATTTCAGGTAATGAGCTTATCCAGAGCCATAATATTCACAGAATGTCAACCAAGCAGGGCAGATGATAGGAAATGGGAGTCTTGGGTTTATTTGAAGCCACAGTTAATTTCTTATGATACAATACTGTTTCATCACATTCATGTGCCGTAACTTTTTTAGTCCTTCCTCAATTGATGGAAATTCCCTTTAAATTCCCAGTTCTTTGTCACCACAAAAGGACTACTATAAATATTTTTGTACATATGGATCCTTTATATTTTGGGGAATAGACCTAATAGAGGTATCTCTGAATCAAAGAGTATGAACCATTCAGTTCATACTTTTGGGACATAGTTCCAAATTGCTTCCACTTCTCCATCCATTGTAATCTGGCTTCTGACTCTACCAACTGATCATAATTATTCTCTCCAAGTTCACCAAATAGTCTCTTTATCAATAAATCTAATAGGACATTTTCTCAATCTTCAAATCTTCTTGATTTCTCTTCAGCTTTTGACATTGATGACCACCACTTTGTCCTAGACGATCTTTCCTGCCTAGGCTTCTGTGACACTGTTTTTTCCTGATTTCTCTCCTACCTCTCTGGCTTATTCTTTCTCAGTCTCCTTTGCTGCATCATTATCCCTATCTCTCCTCTTAGGTGTACTCCAAGGCTCTGTTCTGGGGTTTCTTCTTTTCTCTTTCTAGGTTCTCTCTTTTGGTATCCATCCTTATCAGCTCCCAAGGTTATCCATCATATTTACATACCTTGCCCTTATCTTTCTTCTAAGCTCTAGTCACAAATTTCCAACTGCCTGCTAGACACCTTCCACCTGCACCACCCATGGGCATCTCACACAACATATCCCAAACAAAATTAATCGTATTCCTCCATTTCTTTTGAGTCACTCCCATAACATCCCAGTCATTCACACTTCTCTTTCTCTCACCCCTGTGTCTAATTAGTTGTCAAATCCTGCCAACTCTGCCTCTACAACATGTCCTATCTGCCCTCTGTTCCCCACTCACACAGCCACCAACCCTAATTGCTCTCACCATCTCTTTTCTAGACTATTACAACAGTCTCCTTATTAGTCTCTCTGCCTCTTCTATATATGTTCCTCATTGCTACTAAATCGTTATTCCTAAAGTGCAGCTCTGATTCTGCTAAGTTCTTTATTGCTTCACAAATCAAACACAAACTCTTCTGTTATTGAAGCCCTTTACAACTTACTAACTCCTAGTAACTGATCTTGTGTTACTCCTTCTCAAGCACTCTACCCTTCAACCAAACTGGTTTGCTTGCTATTCTTCACACACAGTGCTCTATCTCCTATCTCTGCTTTCTTGCACTGTCTCCTATGCCTGGAATGCTCTCCCTCCTCAGTAAGGTGGATCAGGGGATAGAAACTTGGATGGACTTGAAGTTTGGAATACTTGAGTTCAAATCTTGCCCCAGAAACAGCTGTGTAACTGTGGGCAAGTCACTAAACCTCTGTCTGCCTCAGTTTCTTCAACTATAAAACGGGGATAATAATAGCATCTATCTCTCAGGGTTGTTGAGATGATCAAATGAAATAATATATATAAAGCACTTTGAAAACCTTAAAGTGCTATATAGTTATTGTTATTATTATTACCTCCATCTCTTAGGATCTCCATTATCTTTCCAAGCACAACTCAGGTACTACCTTAGACAGGAAGCCTTTCTTGATGCTTCCACATATACACCTTCCATTACTTTGTATTTACTCTCTACATATGTTGTATATACCTACTTATGTACATGGCAACTAGGTGGTACAGTGGATAGAATGCCAGGCCTGGAGTTAGGAAGATTCATCTTCATGAGTTCAAATCTGGTCTCAGATACTTATTAACTGTGTACTCTGGGAAAGTCACTTCACCCTGTTTGCCTCAGTTTCCTCATCTGTAAAGTGATCTGGAGTAAGAAATGGCAAGACACTCTAATATCTTTGCTGAGAAAACCCCAAATGAAGTCGCAAAGTGTCAGACATGAGTGAAATGATTGAACAACAACAATAAAAACTCATGTATGCACAATCTCAAAGAGGTGGAGCAAAGATGGTGTAGTAAAGGCAGTGAGTTGCCTAAACCCTTCCCCAAACACTTCCAAATACTTTAAAATAATGACTCTAAACAAATTCTAGAGGGACAGAACCCAGAAAAAGACAGAATGAAACAATTTTCCAGCCCAAGACAATTTAGAAGTTTGGCAGAAAAGGTCTGTTGTACCAGGGTAAGAGGAGCACAGTACAGTGCAGGCCATGCCAGCACATACCAGGCAGCAGCAAACCAGGATCAGGCCATGGGGTGACTGAATCAGTGGCAGCAGTAGTGGTTTCCAGACCTCTCAGCCCACAGATGGTTAGGTGATTGAACAACAGGTCAGTAGGAGATTTACAGGGGTCCCTTTGTCGCATTGTTTATACTTGGATCTAGGTCATAGTCCTGGGTCTTAATCCCATGTGAGCAGGAGCACTAGCACAGTAGAACTTGCAGCTGCAGGAGAGCAGGGATGCTGGTCACAGTTCTAGGGTTGAAAAGAGTGCTTGTGGACACTCACAACCCAGTACACAGTATAGAAGAGTAGTAAACACACCTCTCCTTAGATCATACCATCTTGGAAAAGCCAAAAACTTGCAGGTCCCCAGAATTACCTCTGAAATCAGCTGCACAAAAACATCAATCTTGGGACAGTGCCCCCTTCACTTGGGAAGCAGAGTTCCACTTTAGCATAGAGTTAAAAATAAAGAAACAGACTGAAAAATGAGCAAAGAACAGAAAAAAATTCTGACCATAGAAAGTTGCTATGGTGACAAGGAAGATCAAAACACATTCAGAAGAAAATAAAGTCAAAATTCCAGTATCCAAAGCATCAAAGAAAAATACGAATTGGTCTCAGGTCATGGAAGAGCTCAAAAAAGATTTCAAAAATCAAGTAGGAGAAGTAGAGGAAAAATTGGGAAGAGAAATGAGAGTGATGCAAGAAAATCATGAAAAAACAGTCAACAGCTTGGTAAAGGAGGCACAAAAAATACTGAAGAAAATAACAGCTTAAAAACAGAATAGGTCAAATGGTAAAAGAGACACAAACATCCAATGAAG